AATTGTCTCATTTCCTGGATGAGTGATGTAACCAGTAGGCTGTTTTCCTGAAGTCTTCTTGTGGGCATATGCATGTAAGACTTACCTGTACTAATGAGTCTATTCTCTGGCCCTTGGCCAGACAGCACCACCGGGCTATATCCATGCTATCAGACTCTCTCCAGCTCCAGAGCAAGATGACTGTACACAGTTGCTTGCTGGGAATGGTCCCTGACCCTCGCAAGTTCCAAGTTGTGTCTGGATATTTTTTGGAGGAGGGCTAATCTGTTCCTAGACCTGCTGGGAAAGCAGGAGCAGGAGGGGAGATACCTCCTACACAGTCCCCTGTGTTTTGCACTCCTGTGGTTAACTCCATCCTGCATAATTTCCATGGGCCTTGTTAGACATCACACTGTCTCTACTGACCAGAAGTGATGGTCAACAGATGCTTCAAAGCCTCCTGCCTATTTTTGGGCACAAGTCTTTTCCCAAGCCGTATATGTGATATTATACCTATCCCCAAGGCTTCACTGAAGTATCTCTCATACTTGGAATTAACACCAGACAAAATAAAGACACTGATAATAAGATAGGAAAAGATGAAAGTCTATTCTGCAAGAACTGCTGTGAGTTGCATAACCTAACTTCAAGTATGATCCTTTTGGATACTTTAGCAAATTATGGGAGTCTCTGTCTCTTGTTTTCGTTACTGATTCTCCTCATGAGAGCATTCCCAGCAAGCAGAGGTCACTGTCCCCATCATGCTAGATGCTGTACATGCACATAGTCAACCCTGTCCCAAAGATCTTTTCCAGATAGATAGGACAGAGTTCAGAGAAGTGACATATAAAATGTTGATATTCTGATGGCAGCTGCATCTGTCTCCAAGTCAGAACTCGTTCACTCTCTTGAACTCCACATGCTGGCAGTCATATCATAGGGCTTTGTGACAGCCTTTCTTCAGTAAGGGTTTTGGTTGCTTTCTGTGTCTGGAAATGAAAAGATTTTCCACCAATAGAGTCTGTGAATCAGCACAACAGTATGGCAGGAATTTTAAACAATGTGGTGCTGCTTTTCCATTACAGAAAAAGAAAGAGACTAATTAGAGAATGATTAATTACATGGATTCTATGCCTGATTGTCTATAAAAAAGATGGGGGATGGGGGTGGAAAGGTTCTTCCTTTAATCTCCTTGTTATTTCAGATAGTTGCTTGATTTTTTTTTTCTTCATGCTCCTGGCCTGGAGTTAAATATGGTGGTAGTTATGCACTGTAACAATTCATTTGCTTCTCAAGAAATAGAAGTCTTTGTTTCTATCTCTGCCTGAGGCGTTTTGACTTTTACCTCTTTAGTTTTCCAAAGACACTTGTGTCTCACATGATCAAATGGCAGTGGATCAAACAGTTTGCCTATCACTGCACACTGAAAAGCAGGTTTTGAGACAAAGACGACGTATTGTCTGCTGTGTTTCTCTGTAAAGGACTTCTGTCTAACCAAGGTCTTTAAAAAACCCAGAACAACAAAAAAAAAAGATTTACGTGATCAGCTTCCAGACTTTGAAAAATCATCTCCTGCAGAATTTTTGGCCTAAAAGCACACTACCAACCCAACTCCTTCGCCCCAAAAAACCCTCACAACCTACTGGACTGCATCTTTTGGGGGTATTTTATTACTGTACTGAGTGGTTTTGTTGCTGTGATTAGCACAGAAATTAATATAGAGCCACACAGGAGTAGAGAATTCAGAAAGCTGTACTATCTAATCAGGTTAATGAACTATATTTACTGCTGCCCCTTCTGGGCAGTACACCTAGTTCAAAATCATGTTTCGTCCATATGATCTGTATGTATGGTTCATCTGGTTATTATGGTTTCTGTTATTTATGACCAAAACTTTGTGACATGGACACTGGTTCATTCAGTATTTGCTTATGCCAAGAAAGAAGGCATCAGATCAGCTAAAGAAAGCCACGCTTCAGAAATACCAGCCCTAACACGTTTTGTTTATTACACAGCAAAGAGAACAAGAACATGTCTTGGCAATGTGATCCCAGGTGTGATATCTCTTGTAATATCAGAGTCTGCAGCAAGGAAAAATACCTGGGCTTAAATTAAATTAACTTATTCTATGCAGATGAGGAATTCAGGAGGAAGAAATACACTGACAAGGTGTTTTGTAAGTTAGGTGGGATATGACATCCCCAGGGAATCACGGAACTAAAAGACATCAGAAATCTTAGTTATCTAAATAAAAGAGAATATAATCTCCAGAATTACTTAGGCCATGAAATTTGAGTGACAGCAGGAGCTGCCTGCTGGAATACAAAGTCCATAAGGTAGAGTTGAAGTTGCAGAGCTCTGAGGCAGTGGCTTTGCTCTGTCCATCAGTTGATCTGTCTAGGTATTTCCTAGTATTAGGCATCAGTGTTCAGGCAGTTGATTTAACAAGATTAGCCTTGGTTAAAACTGATCATTTTTAGAATCCCTGTGGGAATGACAAAAAGATCTAACTTCAAGAACAGCTTTATCTTAAAGGGTTCTGCCCATCTATACAGCAGAAAATTCAGGCTAATAATTGTTCACCTTATGGCCAGTTCACGGCGAGTGTAGTTTGTTTCAGCCTGGACAATGCAGTCATAAGTTCCTCACAGCTTTTAATAAGGGGGAACATAAAAATGAAACCCTTGAAATCATGCAATTTTTCTTAATAATAGTGAGATATTTAGCTGAGGGTGCTGGAGCTTTTCTGTTGATTGTGTTCCCAATGGTCCTGGCCGGTTATTCTAATCAGTTGCTTCCCAAATTATGGAAGCTTTGCTTTGACTGCCTACTTTAACTGTCTGCAGAAGGCCCCACCAATTGTTCTGCCATGTGGTAGAGGCATTTACAGTATCTCTCCTAAGGCTACTGGTGAACAAAGAGAGAAAGGGAGAAATCATGGTCCCATTTAGTCAACAGAAGTTATGCCAGTGGCTTCGCAGGGGTCTGGGTAACCCCCCCGCAACGGCCTCATTGTCTGGCAGTGAGGAAGATACGAGTTACAAAAGGCAAATGAGTGGAAGGACCAAAAAATACCTGACACGAAATGAGGTGAGACTCATGCATGCTCCAGGGACTGCCTGCTTAGAGGGCTTGTAGAAGAAGAAACTAAAAAGGCACCTTCCTTAAACTCCCTGTATGATGTCTTGTTGCAGTGAGTGGAGCTGCTGGGGAGCTGCTCCAACAAACCCCTTCCAGTCACTAGGGGCTCAAATGAGGAGCTTCAGAGAATTCTCCTGGAGAGAAACAGCTGTTGTCCTGGAGATGGTTATGGGTGCTATGACCAACAGAGAGCATCCAGCCCATCCTCCTGGATGGAGGGACCGTGCCATCTCTTGATATAGTGCTCTATCAGAGACAGAGGGAGAGGATGGGCTGCACATGTGCTGCCAACTCCTTCTTGCTTGAGAATCACTTGACCAGACTTTCTTATCCTCGCAAGTCCTCTAAGAGAGAACTAAGTGAAACAATTTGAAGGGAATTTTAGCACTGAAGAAAATTCCAGTCCCTTCGGAATAACTCCTGCACCTTAATTTCGTCTCCTAGTTAATGTGTAGCTACCCTGTCAGGCTGAGGCTGAGGGAGTTTCACTGCCGGCACTGTTACAGCCTAATGGGCTGATTCAGTTGATAATGAAGTTTGATAAAAACAGTTCTTCTGTCAGTGCTTGTAAACAATTAAACAGTTAAATCATTTCACTGCCTAAGTCAATACGGTTGTCGTAGAGTAAGTGTGTCACACTGGAGCTGGGGTTTGGCAAGGACATACCCACATATTACAAACCTGCTGTTCCTCTTGGTCTGTGGCTCCTGGTTCCCGGTGTAAAAGTTTTTTGCTTGCACTTCTGATGCTTTAGCGTTCTTGATTTTGTGTGCTACAGTTAGGGGTGGAGCCTACTGGAAGTTGTGTATTTTGTAAACGTATGTGAGGTATGCATTTTATCAGGGGCTTCGCTTTTGTAGCTGGGATCTGCATGGATTGCTGGTTGGGTTTTGACTGCTTAAACAAGTGTTTATCAATCAAGCCTTTGGGAAATTAACAACTGTTTACTCCTTGTGGGTATTTTTTTTTACCATTGTGCTCAGAGCACCAAAGCAAGAGGCTGTTTTGATTCAGAGCAGAAATTACTGTGGCCTGTAAAGACTTCTCCAGCTATGCTAACTTTAACTTTGCCATCTCTACTATCTTTTAGAGATACAATGTGTCACAGCGTTCTTTCCCTTTCCTTGACATAATCACTTAACAAAGGCTTCTTGGAGTTGCAAGACTATCCATTAAAAAGGCTCTCTCAAAATCTTATAACAACTTTGATGGGAACGGAGTTGGGCACACACAGCATGCTGTGTCTTTTGATAAGGTCAAGCAATCCAGGTAGAAAACAAACTTAACTGTTTCAGATGTTTTCCTAGTCAAATAGCCACCTAATAAAGAGTTATTGTATACATTCACAGATTGCAAAACTCCTTCAGTTTCATGGAAGTAAATGTGAATATAATATTTTTAAAGCCATTAGATTTTCCAGTTTCTCATGATTAAGCATGAGGGATGCTCAATGTCAGCCTTGGGTGATGGGGATGAAGAGGAAGCAGAGCTGAATGTGAAAAATTTTGCTGTTCCATGAAAATTTCTGGACTCTTGAGGAAGCAGGTCATCCTGTCACAAGTCAAAAGCATTTTTTTTTCCCAAACTAAAATCAATTTCTTTTTATTTTCATAATTGCAAATTTCTTGTAATTTAAACATTTGAAAATGCGATGTAGAATTTGTTAACTTGCATGGTGAACTGAAAAATCACATTATAAAAAGACAGTTCTTATTTTGGTAACATTGAAACTTTTAGGGGAAGCTCTTCCTAAAAGAGAAATTCATCAAAGTTGATCCTTTCCTGCAGAAAGTTCTATTTTGCAGGAGTGCATTTCCTTGCAAACAAAAAAGCAGTTCAGAAATTCTGAAAATGTTCCTGATGTTTTCTTCTCATTTCAGAGTTGAAGATGATTTAGAGAACCTCTTGAAAGTAACCTCCAAACCAAAACCTAAGGTACCACCAAAACCACCATTGCCTCAGAAGCCAGCAGTTGCCCCCAGGAACACTAATGCATCTCCACTGGCAAGGCCAAAGGAAAACAGGATTCAGACAATGAACGAAGTGGACATTCTCCAGTATATCCAGGAAAATGAATCTATCAACAATGAAGATACAAGTCTTTTTTGAACACACATATTTTTAGAACATAATGATGCCTTCTTGGCCCAGACTCCCAGTGAGCTCAAGTGTCAGTAGCAAGAATTGGCCCGATCTCTTTACAGTCGCAGTGCTCATTTGTACACCATCGTATAGACAGCAGCAAGTTTGACTAGCACAGGCTCAACATGATGTTTTCAAAACAGTGCAGCTGTGGTTCACTGCTGCCTTAGATATCCAGGGGTTTACAGGGAATGTGGACAAGGACATAGCACTACAGATTGTCTACTACTATTTTAGTATGAACATAGTACAGTTTTGGCCAGTTTAGTCATAGTTGAAAATGGTAAGCATGTTATGCACGTGACAAGTGTGAACAGTGTCCAGCAAATGGTCTGAGGCAGGACAGGGTGCTGTTCCTCTCATTTTAGACAGTGTATTTCAGCTCACTGAAAAGGTCATTTTCCTTTTATCCTGTGCATTTTTGTAGCAGCCTTTTCCTCCCTGACTGAAATTTCAGTAACTTATAACCAGAAACTGCTAAGTATAGGTAACAGTTCCACTGTCGTTCAGAGGAATACTGAAATCCCAGCTAAGCCTGACAATCTGCTGGCTTTCTTGTTGCGCAAATGCCAACTTGTAGGACTGCAAACACTAGATGCATCTCTGCCTCCTGGGAAGAATAACAAATGACTGAAGATGGCTACAAGTGTAGCTCCAGACACACGCAGAGGTTGTGGTGTGTAGGAGGTTTGGATGCTGTAGGACTCTTGTGAAACTACTCAAGATTCCCAAGGGCTAATTTTTTCCAGCTAAGCCTTCCTGGACTTCCACTGTAGTTAGTGGAGAGAAGGAGATTTCTCCAGGAGGTGATTCAGTGAAGGTGTCCTAATAGAGGAGCTCTGAATTGCTCTCTGAAGTTACTCTCTCTTTCTCCCCTTCTCCCAGAATTTAAAGAAGCCATAGTGATTAATTCCACTAAGCTAAAATGAGTTTTTTTATAAAACAGTGCTCTGTTCATTACGATGGCAATGGTTAAAAAAAGGGAGGTCAAATCTGGGATTATCCAGAGGAAAAAAGTAGGAAGAATATAGACTGGAGAAATTTTAATATGCAGGAAAAGAAAAACACAGTAGAACAGGCATCGCAGACTACCCGTCTTCTTCCTCATCTCAGGCACGCTGGTTGAATGTGCTAAATTTGCATTTAATGTAGGTTGATACCTGCTGTCATGTAGAACGAGATTCCTGAACTCATTCCACGTGTGTTCTATCCAGATGTGAAGATAAGCTCCCCAGAGGGAAAATACTAATATATTTAAGCCATATCGCTATCTCCAAATTTGCCTTTCTAATATAGCACGAAATAAATAGAAAACATTATATATATTTTTTTAATAATGAAATTATCTCTCTTAGTATTTCCTTTTTAAGCCAATGGAAAATATCATTGCAGGGGGCTTAGAATAGATGACTTTTGGAAGTCCCTTCAGACCCAAACCATTCTATGATTCGATGATTAAAGGTGTTTTGGTTTGATGGGACAGATAAAATGTAGCCATTGGCTCTCTATGTACAGTATGTTTCAGTATAATAAAACATTTTGCTAACCTGCAGGTGTTACTGTTATTGTTGTTCTTTAGGTTGTACAGCAGCAGCGAATCAGAGTTAAAAGGATGGATTCCATTTAAAACGTGAGGAGCATTAAATGTTGTCAAAGTGCACGCTCAGCTAAAAGCCTATGTAAATAAGTATGAAAACAAGAATATAGCTGCATTCATATTTCCTTCGCAGCTAAAGGTAAAACTGCACATGGGCAAAGGTGGTACCTGATCCCGTCTGTTCTCACGCTGTCCTGGTGCAATTAGGAAACTTTTTTATCCCATCCTGCAAAAGGGGAACAAAAGCACCGGGAGAAAATAAATGACTTGCCAGAAAGCAGGCAGAGAATAGCAGGCAGGAGAAATGAATTCAGGACAGGCGTCGTGGTGTCACAAACAACCACTGGATATTTAACTGAGGGTTGGGGAACCTTGATCTCCACTTCATTCAGCACTACTGGGGGAAACTGCTTGGGTTTCTGGATTTTTGGCCTACAGCCCAGCACTTGGCTGGACACTGCTACAACTACCGTGTTAAGAGCCATGGATTTAATGATCAGTGGACTGAGTGGAGGTCTTCACCCTTAGTGGGGGATCAGCAAAAGAAAAGGACTAAGATTTCTTGCAGTAAATTAGAGAAATCATAAAAGGGGCCTAGGAAGACCAGTTTGTCCACCATCCTCCCTAAGCAGGAACATCTGGCCTGAGTCCGGCTGCTGGCAGATCTTACAGGCCAGGACAAGGTGTTACTGATGTGAGGTTGCAGCTGGAAGAGTAGGCAGATGCCAGAGCAGGACATGGAGGCTGAACACAGGCTGGAGAGATACCAGAGCATGGGCACTGAATTATTCTTGCACTGACAGTTGTTATGCCTGTGTTTTCTCTCACAGACATTTTTCTAACCTGTCCTTAAAAGCTTGACTGGCTGGAGAGCACCACTGGAGATGTCATAACCTCTGTGGGTGTGCCTTTACAATTCTTTGCCATCCTATTAGGAATGTTTTCCTACTGTTCGGCATAACTGTTCCTTCCTGCAACTTCAGCTAATTATTTCTAATTCCCATCACAACAGAAAGAGAACGAAGAATATTCTTTTAGTTCTCCTTTCTAGACTGAACAACTCTTCCCAGTGAGGGTGGCAGCAAGACGGGTCAGGACATCACTACGGTACCAGCTCACAACTTGCTGTGCCCGAGACGAATGCTGTCATCTTGCACCGATTTATCCCCTGTTTTTAGAAGAATTGCTACGCATCCATGTGACAATTCACCAGGGGCAATAAAGGATGCCAGCATCCCACACCCTTTCATTAACACCACTTGGTGCAGTGACGCAATGTGCAGCCTTTGTTCCAGCTGGAACTACGTTTTTCTTTCACCCTTCCTCGTAGCAATGTCATCTGTCCGCCTTCCACCACCTCTAGGAACTCCACTCACAAACGGCTCATGCTTTTGCAAAGCTGTGGGAGGGCGCTACCATCATAACCATGGGAACATTCCCAGTAATACTGATGTAACAACAGTATAGCTGTATCCATTTTGAACCGCCAAGGAATAGTTTGCCCCCCCCGCCCTCCCTAAAATTGTCAGATTACCTACATAACACAGGGAAGGAAGAGCTGTTAATTGTTTCCTGTGCTAGATTTTTAAGATGATTTTAAGGTCAATGTTTTGCTTCAGAAAAAATCTCTCTTTCCTGTCAAGGAACTAAGGTAAAGGGATCCTTCATAAATCCCAATGTTATGCATTTGTTTTACAATGCAAATGTCTAGCTGCAGTAATATTTATAGGCACTTAGAGGTGAGTTACAGTCCTTGAATAAATTATGTATAATGAATCATTATTATACAAGAGAAGAATGTCAGACAAATGTAGCCCAGAAAAATTGAACATATTATTTGAAATGACACAGGGAAACCACACAACATACTTTGCATCCTGCCAGACCAGAACTTTGTTTTTTCTCTTCATACATCACTTCTAGTAGCAGCTACTTTATTAGCCTGCTCTTGACAATCCTTGGAATTCAATTATGGACTCTAATGTAGTTCTTGGCTGACAGGCATCACCTTTTGACACTAGTAATAGCTAGCTCATCAGAAGATTTGAAAAGCAAGAGAGTTATATTTAAGCCCTTACAAAAGATGTTTTCTTTAGTGATTAGAACTCATAATAGGTATCTCTATTGCCTTAGAAGCTGCTCCTTGTTTCGCATAACCTTCTGCTTGCTATGTGGTGCAGCACTAATTAGCAACTAACGCTATATACTTTGTATCACAGTTAAAGTACTGATTTCACCAAGCTGGGAATTCCACAGATGACCTGTGGGTCATCTTCTCAGGTCTGTTACGTTGTAAATTTTTAGGGAAGCTAATTCCCACATAGTGTTTAAGGCCTAGTTCTGTCAGTGACAATTTGGGTTGGATCTAAAAAAATATATTAATTGAAACTGATAATTTCTGCTAATCTTTGCCCAGTTAGCTTCTGCAAAGAAACTGAGCTTGCTAAAGCAGAATACACAAGTTAGCCTGTCGTTTAAGGTCATGAAAATCCAGCAGACTCACGAAGCACTGAGGCATTAGCTAATGAAAGGAGACTGTGAATGGCCAGCCCCTGTGGTCGTTAGATTTAATACAGAGTACTTGAAAGCACTGATAGTTCACTTAAAAATGTGACTGTCACTAATGTCACTAACGATTCTTGAATCTTTGTGTGTGTGTGTGCATCAACCGCGTTTCTTATCGATCGATGTGATCACACGTTTGTGGCAGTTTAAACCTCTGTAAGTCAAGAAGAGAGTGGGGGGATTTACTGTGGGTTTTATCTATGTTCTTGCTGTGCGTCTCAACAGCAACAATGGGACTGAATGAAGTCACTCAGTTGCTTTCTGTATTGCACCCATTCCTTCCCTGATTCATCTTTAAACCTTTCTGATCCAATTATTTCAGCCCTCACCATAACACTGATCTTCCTCTATAGCCTTCCACGTACTACTTCTGGTATTTAATGTCACACATTGAACCTAGTGAAGAACTCAAGTGAAGGGAAATCATCTGCCTGTGTTACTAGGGAACAGGGTTACTACGATGGGGTTACGGCGTTGGTGGATAAGGAAAGAGCAACTGACATCATCTACCTGGACTTGTGCAAAGCGTTTGACACTGTCTCGCATGACATCGTTGTCTTTAAATTGGAGAGACATGAATGTGATAGATGGACCACTCAGTGGATAAGGAATTGGCTGGATGGTTGTGGTCAACAGCTTGATGTGGTGACATGAACAGTGGGATCGAGTGCACCCTCAGCAAGTTTGCTGACGACACCAAGCTGTGTGGTGTGGTTGACATGCTGGAGAGAAGGGATGCCATCCAGAGGGACCTTGACAGGCTGGAGAGGTGGGCCTGTGAGAACCTAATGAAGTTCAACAAGGC